GGGGTGATCCCCCCACTCCCCCTCCTCCTCCGAGGGAAGCAGAGGAGAAGGAGGGGGCGATTCCCAGCCCTCCTCTTCAGTCCAGTCCCTGACACTAGGCTTCTTCCTAACCATGAGCTGTTGCCAGGGTTTGTTCTTGACTGCAGCTCATGGTCAGCGATGAGATTAATCACAAGCCCAGTTGCAGAAAACAGCTCTTAGCATCCTTAGCCATTGGCCATGCCGGTGGGAGTTGTAGTCTGAAACATCTGAAGGGCACCAGGTTGGGGAAATAAATTAAAAAATTATCCAGTAGCACCTTAGAGACCAACTAAGTTTGTTCTGGGTATAAGCTTTCGTGTGCATGCACACTTCTTTGGATACACTGAAACAGAGGTCACCAGACCCTTATATATAGTGGGAGGGTGGGGTGGGGTTTTTCTCAGAAGGGTAGTAGGAGATGGGTGATTGACTCAATGGTATGGTAAACCTGTTGACGGCTGTTAACGACTGCAATTAGTCCTACAGGAAAAAGCAAGGGATAGTATGCAGATGACTAAAAATAGCTTTGGCGTATGTAATGAGACGACGCGGGTGGCGCTGTGGGTAAAACCTCAGTGCCTAGGACTTGCCGATTGCATGGTGGGCGGTTCGAATCCCCGCGGCGGGGTGCACTCCCGTCGTTGGGTCCCAGCGCCTGCCAACCTAGCAGTTCGAAAGCACCCCCGGGTGCAAGTAGATAAATAGGGACCGCTTACCAGCGGGAAGGTAAACGGCGTTCCGTGTGCTGCGCTGGCTCGCCAGATGCAGCTTGTCACGCTGGCCACATGACCCGGAAGTGTCTGCGGACAGCGCTGGCTCCCGGCCTATAGAGTGAGATGAGCGCACAACCCTAGAGTCTGGCAAGACTGGCCCGTACGGGCAGGGATACCTTTACCTTTACCTTTATGCCGACGATGCAGCGATCCTTTCCTACTCTAGAGTCGGTTTATGCAGAGCTCTAAAGATTTTTGTGGCTTATTGCAAACTCAACCATCTGACAATTAATCATGGGAAATCTAAAGTCCTGGTCTTTACCAGGTCTCGGAAAACTTACAGCTGGAAGTTAGATGGAGTCCAATTAGAACAGGTTTTCAAATTTAAATACCTGGGAGTCTTTTTTCACTACAACCTAAGCTGGAAGCCACAGATACAGTATTTACTAAACAAAGGGATAACAATACTTTATACTCTACTCCAATTTTTTGCGGCCGACGGAGCCTCCCACATCCCTTCTGCATTGAAGGTATACCACGCAAAAGTGGTTTCCACCCTCTGTTATGCTGCCCCGCTCTGGGCCCCAGGGTCCAATTTAACATCGCTGGGGACATTGCAGAATCAGTTTCTCCGTCGCCTCCTGAAACTCCCCATGTGTGTGAGCAACGCACCCATACGTCTGGAGCTAAGGATTGCATCATTGGAGACTGTCATCTGGAAGCGAGTCTTTGGCTATTGGCTGTCCAGCTGGCATAGGCTTCCCGACCATTACCTTTTTCAGTGCCTCTGGCGGGACGACTTTGTCAATCCGTGGCTAGGAAAAATCCATGCCAAACTTCTGAGCATCGGAATTTCCCCAGCGGACTCCTTAAAGATGAACTTACGCTCAGCCAAAAGCCTTATCGAGCAAAGATTAGCAGACATTGAAAATCAACACAACCTCGCCAGGGGTGGGGGTGTCTGCTCCCCCAGGTATCACGGAATAACCCCACCACTTGGCCTTCCATCATACATGTCATCTCTTTCATCTGTACCACACCGACTTGCATTTATTCGTGCAAGGTTCAATGTCCTTCCATCGAACCTGCTGAGCCACAGATTTCCCAAGGGTTTGGTGTCTCCGCTATGCGTGTGTGATGGGAAAACTGTTGAATCTCTTCCACATATAATGTTCAACTGTCCCTTACATAGCATAGCCAGGACTAAATTCCTGGGTCCTGCTTTACTGCACTTGGTTGGCAGGCCTGTTGAGTCACACGCCGCACTGCTTTTGCAGGATACAGATCCTTCTGTAACTCTGCAGGTGGCGAGATTCCTGAATGCGGTTATCTCACACACAAAAACCACCAAAAAACAACAACAACATCAAAAACTAATCGGACAGTTATGATGAGAGTGCATGTCGGATCTCGTCTTCAGTTTTCCTTTTTTCTGTGAACCGTCCCTTGGAGCTCTCCAGGCCCCAAGCTGTTATTTGGCTCTACTCAATGACCCACCCTTGCATCGTGGTGTTCACCTTCTGTTGTCGGATATATCGGTCTTTATGCCTCTGTGCTTTTATGTTTGTACATACTTTATGGGCTAATAGCCGTAAATAAATAAATAAATAAATAAATAAATAAATAAATAAATACCTTTACCTTTATGTAATGAGACAAGAATCCAATATCTCTATTGGATTTTCAGTTTAGTAATAAGTTGTAATTCAGCAACTTCTCTTTCAAGTTGGCAATAAACCCAGATGCCAACTTTGCTGCCACATACACCCAGACAACACCATCACTGGACCCAACAACATCAAACATGCCATCTCAGGCCTATTTAATTGCTCATCTTCTAACATTGTGTATGCCATCAAATGCCAGCAGTGCCCTTCAGCTCTCTATATTGGACAAACAGGCCAAACCCTATGCCAAAGGATAAATGGACATAAATCTGATATCGGGAATCACAAGACAGAGAAACCAGTAGGAGAACACTTCAATCTCCCAGGACATTCAATACAGGATCTCAAAGCAGCTGTCTTACTACAAAAGAATTTCAGAAATAGACTTGAAAGAGAAGTTGCTGAATTACAATTTATTACTAAACTGAAAACTATGGAGCGACCACAGAAGCTTATACCCTGAACAAACTTAGTTGGTCTCTAAGGTGCTACTGGACATTTATTTCATTTATTTTGAATGCGTCAGACCAACACAGCTACTTACCTGTATCTAGAACTAGGTTGGGGAAGACTGTCATAGAGTACAGTCGACTCACAACTTACATGCATTTAACTTGCATCATCAGAGTTTTAAGCGCTTGGTTGCCAGCCAGTTGACATGGCACAAATTAAACGCACACAAGGCAAAGAGCTTAAAAGTTCTTTCCGCAGTGGGCAAACCTGATGCAGAAAGACCTTTAAGCTCTTTGCTTTGCTTAAGATGCTCTGGGAGGCTCTCTGCCTTGGGGTGGGGGGCAAGGCTTGCTTGGCACAATGGCTTAGAAAACATAGGGTTTCTTGCCTGGGGGCAGTTCCAGGGTTGATTTAACTAGGCACAATTTTGGCTTGAAGCACCATTCCCAGAACATAACCCTCACGTGCATTGTGCATCAACTGTATAACAAAGAGATTTCATATTAAAGACGTAAAGCTTTAATCTTTAATATTCTTATTTAATAATCTTTAATAATCTTTAATATTGCAAATGCTAAAGAATACTTAAAATGCAAAATGAAAGTCACCTATAAAGAGACATTGTTCACATTCACTACAGTGCTTTCACATGACCGTTCCCTAAAAAGAACTATGTTATCTGGGCTTTTTTTATTAAGTCAGCAAAAAATAATTGTAGTTTATGCGGACAATAAAAGAACTAAAATGAGTACAATAGGAATCGCAATAAGGAAAAATATTGGTGCTGCCCAGAGGTTAAAGGCCAGTAACATGACAAGGAGAAAAGGGACTAGGAACCAATATTTGGCTGAATTGAAGCACTGTGTAAACAATGGTATTTCACTGGTCAGTTATGACTAGTACCACATATATTTGTTTGTCTGTGATTTCATAAGGTCCTGGCCCACAGAACTGCAAGCACCATAGCAGCTGTGTACCTGCTCTCAGAAGCCATTGGGCCTCCAAACGCTGGAGCCTTCTAAGGGTGTCACAAGTGCAAATTTGATAAAAGGGTTTCAAATGTAAGCTATGATGCTGGTGGATATCTCCAATAAAGGTTATTAATAAATGTCTTGTTGACATTTTGATAGTGGCTTTGTTGTAGCAGCAAAGAACACTGTGCAGCAATGTCATGACATTGCACCAAATGAATACAGGACATTGGATTGATTTCACTGGATGACTCTAAAGTTCAGGAATTTTTATTTCTTTCCAGGACATTCATAAATATTCTTAAATAAAAGACAGCAAATCACTGAACACTTTCTGCATGTGTGTCAAATGATATTACAAGGAATAACACTTAAAGATTCACATAAACCAAAATTAACTTTGGAATAATTTCCAGTAGCATATATGCAAGAAATACAAGTAAAGATTTCTATGCAGATGACCTAGACTGGTTTTCTAACTTTCCAAATACCATCATACCAGTTTGTAACTTTAAACTAATTGCTAACTGAGATAAATTGGACTTAAGTATGATGAAGTCCTCTGGATCCCACCCAAATTTAGGATTTCAGTATGAGTGAACATTAATCCAAATATTTTATTACAACAGGGCCCCAGACTGATTATAGTAAAAACAAGTGCTTGAAATACATCCACTAATTGTAAATGAGTCTTTGTAGAGCCAACTGACCACAAGAAAATCAGTGGCTGAATAGAGCAAGGACAGCACAACTGTGACTCCACAAAAGCTGGCAGTGCCAGCAAACCAGATAGATACACAAAACCTTGTTGGGTCTCCCTGCCTTACAGTTCACTTTGAAATAATTTTATCTATCGTCATTCTCTCCACTAACATTCCACAGTCATATTCCTTGAAACGTTGTTTACACAGCAATCCAAACATTGTTATAACAATTAGAAGCATTAATAGCCACTATCAACTCCATACAGATTAGAGCAAACACGTTCCCAAACAGGCTTTATGTCCATGAGGCTATTATTGTAGCTCTGTCATTTCCATAATGGCAGCAGGTTTACATAATCCGCTGTAGGAAAATAACGGCAAACTGCAGAGGTGAGATGGAAATATCTATTTATTAATCCATTAACTGCCAATTAGCTTTGTCAAAAAGCTGATTTGGTTATCTTTTCTGATAAGGAGCCATGTGATTAAATAAGGATTTCGTCTATAAAAGGCAGTTGAGAACTATGGAAAAGTGGTACACAGATCAACCATGGCCAAGTTGATTCTCCTTACCGGTAAGTCTATAATGACCATTTTATGTCTATACATTGTGTTATTGCATTTTATTCTTGAACACTATAATGAATGGGCCAGTCTGAAATGTGACTGAGGCTGCTATCCTATCAACAGTTAGTTGGGAGAAAGCTGCATTGTACATAATGAGACCTACTTCTGAGTAGGGATGGAGGGGAAATTCGATTTTGTTTGCAGTTTATTGACTACCTAGTCTAATTTCTCAAACCAATATACAAACTGAAACACGGCTATGCTTCGAAATGCACTCTTCTCCAAATTTTATGATGCAGTTTGCCAACAAAACAAAAATGCATATATTAAGGGGAAATGTGCATAAAACCACATATATTAGTGAAACTAACATCCAAAACTGCATATTAGGGGAAATTGCTTGTTTTTCCTTGGGGGGGGGGGAATCTCAGAGCCATTATTATTTAATGCAAAACATTCTTGGGCTCATCATTTATTTGAATGCCTTTTATTTTTAAGTCCATATGACTGGGTTCTCTTACACACACACACCTACCTCAATGGCTTATTTCTTTACTCTTTATTTCCTTCGTAGGTCTGGCGCTTTTGCTGAATGCTCAGCTGGGTAAGTAAGAAACAGGTAGAGGGAAAGCAATTGAGCTGTGTTGAGCATCTCCTATACCACTAGTGCCACTTTCAGGAGCTTATTTTGGGAGATAAACAAAAATACACCAAATAAATAAAATGTTTAAAAAATGGATCTGCCTGTTCCTAAGGAATAGCATTAAGATAACGAGATTTCTGAGTTGAATTCATGCCCTCTCCCTTTACATGGTAATGTGCATTCCTTCATTTATTTCAAAACACCCTGTTGGGGTTTTTTGGTGAGGAGTTCTTGCTTATTCTTCTGAATGAGGCCCAAGACTCTGTCCCAAATCCTGGCCTGTAAATTATTATTATTATTATTATTATTATTATTATTATTATTATACCCCGACCATCTAGCTGGATTTCCCCAGCCACTCTGGAACATATCCTACTACTATCACAACTTTTCTCTTAACCATAGGTTCTGCCTACCAGCTGACATGCTACTTTACCAACTGGGCCCAGTACAGACCAGGCCTGGGAAAATTCAAACCTGACAACATTGACCCATGCCTGTGTACCCAGCTGATCTATGCATTTGCTGGCATGAAGAACAACGAGATTGCCACCATTGAGTGGAATGATGTGACCCTTTACCAATCTTTCAACGGGCTGAAAAACCAGTAAGTTGCCTGATGACAAGTTGGTTCTAGTTTATTTTCTTAAATTGCCTGCAGATCATTTTCTGCAGAGTGCCTCTCTGAAAACATCTGCATGATTGGTAGCAAATGCCTGATATTATACAGTATAAGGCAGGAAACCACAAGGCTTCTCTTGTGAAGTTGTTGCAGTAAGATACGACAAATCTAGAATGTATCAAGCAGCAGCAGACCTCTTTCAGGTACAAATGCATTTATATACAAATTCCAGTGGAAGTTGTTGTATACCTTTTCTTTTCTTTTCTGAAATACAACTTTGTTATCTGAAAGACCCACATAGAGCAGTTCTGCATGGAGTACATTGCAGTATTCTAAATGTGAGGTTAGCACGTGTACTATTATAGTCAGGTAGCTATCCTGGTCTAGGAAATGCTGTATCTGGCACACCAACCATAGCTGGGAATACGTCCTCCTAGCCACTGAGGCCACTTGAGCCTCTAGTCAAAATGATGGCTCTAGGAGCACCCCAAAGCTATGCACCTGTTCCTTTGGGAAGTGGAACTTCATTCAGAACAGGCCATCTACACAATTCCCAGACCCAGAAACCACCCACCATTAATACCTCTATCTTATCAGGATTAACTCTTTGTTATGTTTATGTTAACATGCCGATAACACTGTCCTCCAAATCCCATATAAATGTTAAAAAGCATGGGAGACAGAGTAGAACCCTGTGAACTAGACAACACATTAACAGAACTGATCTAGGAGTCAATGATATCAAATGCCGCATAGAATCAATAGGGTTGCAATTCTCCTTGTCTGTCTCCTAATATAATCAGACAGGGTGGCCAATGCTATTTCAGTGGAAACTAGACTGAAATGGGTCTAAATAATCAGCATCCTTGAAATCAGAATGATTTCTCACTGCTCCGGGAAAGAGTGAAACAAACAAACAAACAAAAATGGTTATTTGAATAGCCTTATATGAGATGTGTCACAGTCAATATTTTATAGCACAATAGGGTCCCTTCTGCCCAAGGAAAAGTAATCATCAGGGGATGCTGAATAAAAAAAAATACAGAACTGAACTTAATCTCTCTTACTCCTTTTTTTTCAAGGAATGGACAACTCAAGACTCTCCTGGCTATTGGAGGCTGGAACTTTGGAACAGCTCCGTAAGCACCATAACATTTTTCTTGGATCAATTCAGTGATGGGGTTTGACTCAAGGACTCGAAGTCTGAATTATCATAACCTTAATTTGAGATCTGAAAGGAATTGGCTCACAAGTCAACTGATGATACGGGAGGTTTTTATCTCCCCTGCAGATTGGATTTGGCTCACTTATTTGAACCATTTACAATTATTTGATTTTTGGTACCTGACTATGGGATCCCTGGTGTATAAATTTGGTGCACCGTTTTCACAATTGTGACAGCTGCTTTGGGGTGGGTGGGTTGCTGTATCTTGAGATTTGGCATTGTACTGGGTAGCCCATTGCAACTTTTTATCAAGTCTTTTCTTGCTGAGTGGAGTGAGTGCTGGTTGTAGTTATTTCTCCTAATTCTCCACTTCTCTGGTTCTTGCCTAGATTCAATGCAATGGTTGCCACTTCCGCAACTCGTCAGACTTTCATCAACTCAGTCATCAAATTCCTGCGCCAGTATGAATTTGATGGGCTGGACTTTGACTGGGAGTACCCTGGCTCTCGAGGCAGCACTGCTCAGGATAAGGCCCTCTTTACTGTTCTGGTTAAGGTAAGCTAGAGATGGTGCTGTGGGTAGGGCAGCTATTGGGAGGCAGAGCCAGGAGGTCACTATAGGCGGAATCAATGTACTCTGGTTTTCTCTCTATCCCCCACCCTTGCAAAAGATACTGTGGACAATTAAGCAATTCCCATACACAAGCATGAGATATTTAAGTCACCTAGGAAGAAGGCTGTACACCTGGAAATTTTACATATCTAAGGGCTAGCATCAAATGCATAGATGTACCTGTGATTTTTCAGTTCTATGTATACCAAGGAAGATGGGCAGAAAAGACTCCAGAGAATCTCTGAATAAATGGAATGTTATGAATATGACTGCATGGGACACAGGACTGCTGCACTCTAGCTTCCTATTTTATGTTGCAGGAAAAATAAGAGTACTGCCCCACCACGTCCTAGTGACTACCTACCTGCAGCCCCTCAGATGTTCCAGCTGCCACTTTACTATTGACTCTCTCAATGTCTGTGCTTATCATATGAAACAGGAGTTTCCTCCTTAGAGTGGGAGGGTAATATACAACATGATGCAGAAGTAATTGCTATAGCTCTTCTTCTTTTTCATAGGAAATGCGGGAAGCCTTTGAACAGGAAGCCCAACAATCCAACAAGCCCAGGCTCATGGTCACTGCTGCTGTGGCTGGTGGACTTTCCAACATTGAGTCAGGCTATGAAATTCCTCAGCTGGGCCAGTAAGTATACTGTACTGCAGATGTACTTGGGCTACTGCTTAGAGCTACTTGGCATGTGCATACTGAGTGAGCAATGGATAAAGAGATATCACCCTTTTCTGCCTCAATAAAGCAAAAGGGTAGCTGGGTAGTCTGCTCTCTCTTCCTAAACTCCACCTTAACACAGATCTTTGCTTTGCTCTCAGCTTGATGAAGAGTTCTAAAGAACTCAAAATCTTGCTCACTATTTTGTGACATTTTAGCTGACTTAATAAAGGTATTGCCCTGCTTATGGGTTTGGGGCTTTTTCTGCATAGAATTTAGAAGACCGGCTATAGATTATAAATATCAATATCACAATTCTAATTGTCAACCTGGTAAGATAGCAAATTGGCCACAAATGAACCCATCTCTGAATACCTATGTGCCTACCTTCCAAACAGGTACCTGGACTATTTCCATGTGATGACCTATGACTTCCATGGCTCCTGGGAGGGATACACTGGAGAGAACAGCCCTCTGTACAGAGGTCCTGCAGACACTGGTGGCAACATCTACTTCAATGTTGTAAGTATATTTCAGAAGCTTTGTCACCAATAGCTAAATCAGCTTTCCTCAACAAAGGAAATAAAGCTGACCCAAAATGTTCTGATTAGAGGGCAAGGGAACCGGAAACAAAGAGATTGGCTTTAAATAAGGAACTTCGCTCAAGGAAACTATGTCTTTGGAGACATTTTAGCACTGTGTTTTCCTTATAGGAATATGCCATGAACTATTGGAAGAACAACGGTGCCCCAGCTGAGAAGCTCATTGTTGGATTCCCAACTTATGGACACACCTTCATCCTTAGCAACCCATCCAACACAGCTGTTGGTGCTCCAACATCTGGGGCTGGACCTGCTGGACCATATACAAGACAAGCTGGCTTCTGGGCTTACTATGAGGTATCTGCCACAAAGTTATGTCTGTGAGAAATTAGGGGCAGATTTTGTTATCTCAGGAAGATAGGGGATGAGATGAGGATTAAGCAAGCATATGTTTTGGAGATCATTGTACTCAGTCAGAAGGAGCAGTTATGTAGCATGGGGTGCTCCTAGAGCTATCACAATTGCCTCCATGGCAAGAAACTTCTTAGGCCAGCTTCATCTAGTATGTCAGCTGGAGCTATTCTTGGTCACAGTAACCCATGGGCTGAAAAACTCAAGATTGGATTTTTACTGTAATGTGTTGTAAGTAGGGCTGCCTTTGATGTTGGTTTGGAAGCTGCAATTAGGGGCTGCCTATTGCAAAATAGCTCCACTATGCTACAGAGGCAAGTTAAAGGTGCCTGCCTTGACATACGTGGCCCTATACATCTCAGGACCTAGATACCTGGTGGAGCATCTTCTCCCAGAGACCCACCAGTGCACTATGATCTATGGGGGAGGGCAAGAAAGATATAAAATAAAGTAAAACATCATGCAGTGAATGCCTGACCTGAGCTTCCCTTTTTTCAGCAGAGGCTAGGGTGGGAGAAACACTTAGAAAAGTCTCAATTTATTATGGGTCAATTGTTGGACCATTTTTTAGCATGAAATAGTACTGCAAATAATTTTATTATTATTTTATATTCATTTCATGAAATTAGCTATTGCTATTGTTATATGATTTCATGCAAGAATAAACTAGTTAACTGCTATTATAGCACAAGGTTACTGTTCTGGAATTATGCATTCCAAAAGTGTTAATAGCCAACTTCTCAAGGAACTATATTTTTAAAAATAGTAGAACACAGACAAAAAATATTTCATAACTCAAATCTACAAAAACAGCAGTACAAGATAAACTCAAATTAAATACAAGATTGCTGTAGGTTACTGGCTTTATTTTTAATTTATACAGTGCTTATTGCAGAATTATGTGCAATAAGAACTGTGTCAAACACACATTTCCAAATAACCCATAGTTTTTCTGTTTGAAGGCAACATATGAAATCTGAGTTCGTGCTGAAATTGTTTTAAATTTCTTTCCTGGGAGATTTGTTCTTGACACACTCCTTAATGTGGATTACAGATTCAAGCAATGGAGACATAACATCAGAGGAATCTTCTGACAAAGATCAACAGCTTTAAAATCATGTTTAAAAACTAATAAGTCAGTTATAAACTTTAAGGGTCTGGTTTCCACTACGTTTATTAGCACAAAACCTCTCCTCCCCAAGCAATTCTTCAAGCATGTAAGCTGGTAATATTGTGTGCTGCTCCCTTCCAGATCTGCACCTTCCTGAAGAATGGAGCCACTCAAGCTTGGGATGGTCCTCAAGATGTCCCTTATGCTTACAAAGGCAATGAATGGGTGGGCTATGACAACATCAAGAGCTTCCAGATCAAGGTATGGTATCAATTTCACAAAAGCATACATTCATTCTGGTGCATTAGAATGTCCTGGTAAGTTCAAGACTGTTTTTTTGTTTTTGTTTCTTTCTTCAAAGGCTGAATGGCTGATGAAGAACAACTTTGGAGGTGCCATGGTTTGGGCCATTGACTTGGATGACTTCACTGGAACTTTCTGCAACCAAGGCAAATACCCCTTGATCACTGCCCTGAAGAATGCCCTTGGTCTTCAAAGCACCAGTAAGTACCAGCAACAAGACGCTTTCTCAAATTAACATTTGCATATTGTAAATGGCAATACAGTCATGTCTCAGTAATGCTAAAAAAACCACCAACACTTTTCTTAAAACACATACAAATGGTTCAAGCATGGAAAAAGCAGCATCATGCACATCATTGTATTCATTCTGGATTAAGATTAGAAAAATGAGAAACTAAGAGAACAGAACCTGGCAGATCCCCTGGTTCGGTAGAGCATGGGAATTACAGGATTCAGCCAAAGGCTTCACAAAAAGGTGAGCTTTCAAGGAGGTTTTGGAGGTAGATGGGAGAGGTGGCATCATGCAATTTTCAAGCAAACAAGGCAGCAAGAGAGAAAAGACTAGAGCAATGACAAACAACAATACCTTCTGCTTTTGTGAAACTGATCTTGGAAACTATAGCCTAGCACAGAAGTCAAGTTTAGTAGTCATCCTACCCATTGTTTTTAGACCTTTTAGTAAAGGAATTTTTGTTTCACCAAGAGGTTCTGACTATAATTAAATTAAATAACGACTAATTAGGGACAAAGGAAGAATACGTGCAATACTGATCCTGTCTTCTTCTTCTTTGGCGATCACTTGTAGCCGAGTAAGATTGTCTTCCATAAACACGGTTTTAACAATGAGTCCATAAGTGACTGTAGAGGCCAATTCTGGACCCAAGCGTGCCTTCCTCTTAGCATGTTTCTCCCTTGCATTCTGAGTTCGAGTGTCTTCAAAGTCCATGACACCTTTGGTAAAGGCTGTTCTCCAACTGGAGCGCTCGCAAGCCAGTGTTTCCCACTTGTCTGTGTTTATACTTTTTTTAGATTTGCCTTGAGACAGTCTTTAAACCTCTTTTGTTGACCACCAGCATTACGCTTTCCATTTTTAAGTTCGGAATAAAGTAGTTGCTTTGGAAGATGATAATCAGGCATCCGCACAACATGACCAATCCAACGAAGTTGATGTTGAAGAATCATTGCTTCTGATCCTGTACTGGTCCTGTACATCTAAGTGTGTGGTGCTTTTTTTCTATTTCAGGCTGTACCGCTCCTGCCCAACCCAATCCTCCAATCACAGCTGCTCCTAGCGGTGGGGGAAGTGGCAGTGGAAGCTCTGGCAGTGGAAGTTCTGGCAGTGGCAGCAGTGGTGGTAGCGGTTTCTGTGCTGGCAAAGCCAATGGTCTGTACCCCGTGGCCAACAACAGAAATGCTTTCTGGCACTGTCTGAATGGAGTCACCTATGAGCAGAATTGCCAGGCTGGCTTGGTCTTTGATACAAGCTGTGAATGCTGCAACTGGGCATAAAACCAGATTATCCAGCTCTTACCTAGGCTTTTCAATTTAAATTCATGGCAGAAAATTAAGAAATAAAAGCTTGCAAGTTAAACCCTAGTGTGTTCATCTCCTTCATTATAATGTTTTGGTATTACCTAGTTATTTCTTTAGGTAAAGGTAAAGGGATCCCTGACCTTTAGGTCCAGTCGTGGCAACTCTGGGGTTGCGGCACTCATCTCGCTTTACTGACCGAGGGACCCAGCGTATAGCTTCCGGGTCATGTGGCCAGCATGACTAAGCTGCTTCTGTTGAACCAGAGCAGCACACTGAAAAGCCGTTTACCTTCCCGCTGGAGCGGTACCTATTTATCTACTTGCACTTTGACGTGCTTTTGAACTGCTAGGTTGGCAGGAGCAGGGACCCAGCAACGGGAGCTCACCCCGTCACAGGGATTCAAACCGCTGACCTTCTGATCGACAAGTCCTAGGCTCTGTGGTTTAACCCAGTTATTTCTTTAGATTTCATTATTAACAAACTGTTAATTTTGTGTTTAATGAAAAGGACACTTAAATATAATTAATACATTGCTTCAGCAGCATCCAAAGCATAGCCTGTCATTTGCCCAGTTTGGTGCCTTTGTGAACATCATGGCCAGCACAGAATTAAGCTGTGGAAAAACATTCTGCAGCAATTCTGCTTATATACAGTATATGCTCATCATCCTTTACACTTACCAACATGATCCAAGAGCAGAGGTCTGAAAGTTGAGTCATCTTGGATGACACAGGGCATCTGAAGGGGAAACCTAGTTCTCCAGGAATGATGGAAACTGGAAACTGTGGTCATTCCCCAAAAGGGTGCAGCAATGGAGGAAATGTTTTGGCATCAATCTCCTGCTCAGCTGAGTATAAGATTGATTCAACTGGTAAGGCCCCTCAAACTCAAGTGAGGAACACTGTGCTGTAACTAATACTCTAGAACTGTAGTCTTCTACTTTTTCAGGCTCATCTATAACCCAGACATGCATTTGCGGAATCATTTGTTTAATGCCATATATTTGTCTGGTGGTAGCACTGCTGATAAGTCCCACATTAAAACACCTTGGGATGCAATATTGGGTCCAACCCACAACTGAAGATCAATGCTCTAGAAAACAGAGACTCCACATCATGCCAAATATGTCTCATGACTATAAAGGAAACAGCTTCTTCCATAGAGAAGTTGTGCCCCGATGACACTACCTCTCCACTGTTTTATAAAAATGATGCAGACCAGGGGTAGGCAACCTAAGGCCCGTGGCCCGGATGCAGCCCAATCGCCTTCTAAATCTGGCCTGCAGATGGTCCGGGAATCAGCATATTTTTACATGAGTAGAATGTGTGCTTTTATTTAAAATGCATCTCTGGGTTATTTGTGGGGCATAGGAATTTGTTCATTTCCCTCCAAAAAATATAGTCCAGCCCACCACATGGTCTGAGGGACGGTGGACCGGCCCACGGCTGAAAAAAGGTTGCTGATGTAGACTGTTATGTCATAATTAGACCAAAGCGATCCAAGGGTTACAGTTCTATAGTATGTATGATGTCAGGCTTGGCTGTCCCTGAAAAGAACCACAGTTCTGTTATTTGAGAGGAGGAAAGAGATCAGCTACTCTTATCTGTCCCTGTTAGTTTTATGCTCTACCATGCCACTGAAGTCAGGTTCAAATATATGGCCAGGTAAGCCAGTTTTTGTGGGGGTTTTGCTGGGTACATGCTGTTTGTTAGTATAATCTATTTAGAATTTATCATCTGTGTGAGTTCATACCGCTTAATATTTCAGAGTTCATGCTCAGGCCCACCTATCTCAATGTGACATTCATCAAGTGTCAACAGTGTCCTAGGTGCTATACATAAAAGTTAAACAGTCCCGAACAAAGGATCTGCAAGAGAATGGTGCAAAGATGAGTCAGGGATTGGCAAATGACTAGGAATAGTAGCACAAGGGAGAGTCAGCTGGCAGTTTTGTGGCAAGCAACATAATGGCAGGCTAGACTACAATGGTACCTCGGGTTACAGATGCTTCAGGTTACAGACTCCACTAACCCAGAAATAGTACCTCAGGTTAAGAACTTTGCTTCAGGATGAGAACAGAAATCGTGCGGTGGCAGCGGGAGTCCCCATTAGCTTAAGTCGTACCTCAGGTTAAGAACAGTTTCAGGTTAAGAACAGACCTCCAGAATGAATTAATTTCTTAACCCAAGGTACCACTGTACTTATAAAGGTCCGTCCTGGAAAGCTGTCTGTGGACAAACGAGATGAGTGCCCCAACCCCATAATCACCTTTGACTGGACTTTGGGGTCCTGGGGTCCTTTACCGTTTTGTAATTTTTAAAAATGCCTAACTCCATAATTTTCAGTCATCAAGCAACAGGGCTGTAGAGGTCACTATGGTGCATTAGCACCATCAAAAAGGAGGAGCAGGCAAGGGAACAAATAATAGCAAAAGGTGTGTGAGGCAGCAGAACCCATTAAGTCTTAAAAATGAATAGCTCTTAATGATCAAGAGTGACTAAAAAAGGTGCACATGCCACACAATACTGATCATGGCATTGCTCTGAAAAGACTTTAGTCCCCATGCCCTACAATAACCAAGCCTAAGTACATATTCTTACCCTCTTTAGCCCTGCCTCCACTTCCTTCCCTTCTGTCAAGACTGTGAGACTGTAAGCTCCACAGGGCAAGGATCTGTCCTTTTGCACTCTGCAAAATAGCAGGCACACTAATGATGGTAAGCAAATAAATAAGTCCCTCTCACCATTTTTAATATATGGTAATTAAAGTAGCATTACTGACTTCTTTCCCTACAGCATCTTAGCAATGGAAGGAAGCGTTCTCCAGCTGCATAGCACTTAGCACCAATCTGCTGCTCTTGAAGTGGTATCCCAGCTTAAATGTATTTATTTCTTTCTTAAATTTCTACAGCGCCCTTCACCTGAGGGTCAAAAGTTGGTTTACAATATCAAAAGGCAAAAATACATACCATAGAAGCAAACAAAAAGAATACCCATTCTGTGCACACACAGGGTGAGTGATTAAAGGCCATAGATTGTTTAATTAATCAAAGGCCTGGGAGAAGAGGTACTTTTATTAATTAAATTAAATTAAATTAAAGCAATTTGACTAATGCAAGCACTTGAGCCAATCCATAAATCATTCAGAAATTAGAAGAAAGAGAAAAACCTGACTTGATTAAGCTCTAGTTCAACAAGCAGCATAACTTGTTTCCTTTCCTCTATGGGTGCATAAGGTGGTACTGCCCCCTCCATCACCGATTTCTTTTGACCAAGGAGAACAGGTTCGTTCTGGTTGCACCTCTCTACAACCTTGGCTCACTCGCTATTGTAGGACCACAACTCTCATCATTCCCACACAGCTTAGTCAATGCTCAGGGGTGATAGGAGTCGTAGTCCAAGCTCCTTCTACTTTCAGCACTACTTTCCATGTTCCGGGGTAAGCCCTGTAACTGAATGCAGGTCCGAGATTGGAGCCTCCTACCTATAAGATACATCTTCCCTCATCACCACCATTGTTAAGAACAGCACGTGTGTATACAGTACTCTCTTTCCTGCTATGCTCTCAAGTCAGAAGAAGAAGAATTGAGCCAAATGGGCCAATATATATATATATGGAACATGTGATTGAACCTCCCCAGCGCCCGGCGAGTAAACACACGTGTGTGCTTTTCCTGGTCCTGTCTCCCTGCAGCGGCTTTTGTCAATAGCTCGGACGAAATGACGTTATACCGCTCAGGTCTTCCGGGCGTTGCGAATAGATTCCACCTCGGTGCATTTCCATGGCAACAGGGAGGCTCGCCACCCAAGAGGAGCGCCCTCAGCTTGGTCATGGGACAACGCCAGCTGACGTGGGAGCTCTCAGGTGAGGCGGGCACGGATTGGCCAGAACGAGTGTGAGGCGAGCAGGTCGCCCAGGTGCGCCAGGCGAGCTCACGTCTCCCTTCTCCCCCGTCCGGGGAATGGGCACCTGCTGAAAGGGGAGCTTTTGCTGAGCTGAAACGGGATCTTTCCCTGAGACAGTTGAGCCCACCCCTTTCTTTCGCCGTAGTTACACACCACATACCATTGAAAGCATATTTCCCTCAAAGGATTCCGGGCACTATAGTGTGTTTAGCGTTGTTGGGAAACGTAACTCTTGTGTGGGGTTACACAGAATTATTTGAATTCTACAGAACGTGCTTTCGAGTGTGTACACAACTTAAGCATATGGCCATTTAGAGTCCCCAAATGAGAAGTACACACCAAGGGCAGCAGTAAACCATTAGTTGTTGTTGTTTTTAATCCTCTGGTGAGACTGTAAAATTTGCAGTTGTCTGCCCAGGAATCAGCTGCATGTTGCAAAGGATTCTGGGGCATGCTAGCAGACCATGCAGAACAATCTTCGTCATGAGTGGAGCCACAGCAAATTTTTCATGTTTAACTCTACGCAATGTAGGGTAGCAATCATAGAATCGTAGAGTTGAAAGGGACCCTGAGGATCATCTACTCCAGCCCCCTGCATTGCAGGAATATGCAGTTGTCCCATACAGGTATCGAACCTGCAACCTTGGCATTATCAGCACTGTACTCTAACCAGCTGAGCTGTCCACCTCTTTTACACACTTTACTGGGAGTGAGTCCAGTGGAATTCAGTAGGACCCCAAGGTCAGCGTGGTTCTTGCTTGTATGTTTTAACATTTAACAATGAAGAGAGATCACACAAAAAATAATTCTCAGTCCTGGAGCTGAAGAAGTCATTTCTGTTCACTTGTCATTTCTGTTTATTTCCATCCCTGCGTATAAAACATCCCATTTTAATTCTTATTGATTAGTAGTTGTTCAAACATTTCCACCACTGTGTATGATAATGCTTTGACCGCAGTTGGCTCCCAGCCTGAATTCAGTACAAGGGGCATTTCAGGGGAAGTGCACATCTGCAGGGTCACCACCACTACCCCGGGGCTTCCCCAGTCTTGCTGCCACATCCCCTCCCTAATGATGGCAGCATCGCTGCTAGGAGGACACTGTAGCTTCTGTTCCCCCTCACAAGTCACTGCTGATGACAGTACAATTGGCAG